GCATCCAATAAAAGATTTGCAATGTTGAAACTGTCCCAGGGAAGCATTTATTTTTCCAGTTTTTGTAACAATGCCACATGACTGGCACGTTTTGAACGGGCAGAAAACATAAACCCCATCCTGAGTGATCCAAAACAGAGCAGGGTTTCCAATCCATACAATTTACATCGGAAAAATAGTACTGTGACATCTTGAGGATCAGGGGAGATGCACATTAGGTCTTGTTGCCTTGTGCCGTACCAGAGTATCCTGCTAGACTGTCACACCTCCCTTCTCCCCTGCTGGCCTGCACTAACTTTGCATTTTAACAATAAAAAACAACACAGATCAGAAGTTATTATGGACCCAACCATTACTGAAGGGATTACTTTGTGTTTGTTTTAGTGGACAACTCGAGACACTTGATGGTGACAAACACCTGGGAGACCGAGGAGCGTAACGGCAGCTGACAGCAAATGGCAAGCCAATTAAATGTTACCTGGTGAACATAAAGGAGCTAGAGATGAGAACAGGGCCAGCATTTATCAACAGTGAGCCAGTTTAGTTAGTCTCGCAGCAGTGCTGTAAACAAAAACACGTGAATTTATACATCACGTCCTGCCTCTGCCTGCTGCGCTCCTCTCCTGAACAGCACAGCGTTTGTCTGTTTTTGTGAACACGTCTGACTGGAGAATCTCATGCTGTGTTGTTCATATGCGAGAGGCAAACTCCAGAGAACCGGAACCAATTGTATGGACATTTAGAGGTGGTGTGGGACACGTGGCCACATTCTTTTTACTGTATACACAATTATTCCTTACCTCTTCATCTGCTTCATCCTCATCTCCTGTGTCGTCATCCATCATCAGGCCATTGTGAGTGTGTGTTCGTCCATTGAAGGAGTACACAGGCTTGGTGTAGTGACCCACACTGGCCTGCTTTGTCACGGCTCTGTTAAAGGTCCGGTGGTGCTGTGCCTGGTGGGACAGCACGCACGCATGCACACAGACCAGTTAAGTGATAAACACCTATTAACAGCCAATGAGGAAATGTTAAAAACACTTTAAAAGACTCATACCTGTCTCATGGCAGTCTCTCCAACCTTGTCAGAGTGTTTTCGGATGCTCTCCAGGAAGTCCTTGAGGTCTGACATTGAGATCTCCTTGATCTCCTCTCTCAGTCTGGGGAGGTTTTCAGCCATGATTTGACAGAACCTGTACTGGCTGACCCTGTAGAACCAATTCACTTTTGTCAATGTACAATCAAATTCAACTGGTATTTATTTATGGAATCGAATGAATGCAACTGAACTGGAAATGTATCTAAATGAGACCATTCAGCCATTAAGGCAACATTACAGTAAACTGGATTTCCAAACTGATTTGATATTTATTCAATTTGTTTCTGTACTTTCTCTTCAATACTATTTGAATTTTTTTTTTAAAATGATGCTGTAATACTGAAGATAATTAAAATTTCCCATGGAATGTCAATATTTCTTCCTTAAGGAAATATAATTCCAGTTGAAACAAAGTATTAGAACATATCAATATGCTAAGCAGAATAAGTCTTACAGCTGCACTAATAAATATCACTAACTCTACTTTAGCTTCTAAAAGCTCATTGGGTTTTATGTTCAGAACATTCTTTTTCATTCAGTTTCTCATTTAATTAAGCTTCAGCTTCAGCCTGTTTGTGGTGAAAAAGCTCTGTTAAAGCAAATGTACATGACCTGCACAGCACCAAACAACAGCGTCAGAGACTAAAATGTTCAACATTGTAATGAAGGCTGTCATGGTATCAGATTGTCATGGCCAATAGAATTGGTTGATTCTTTGCATCTAAATAGCACTTTTCTAGTTTTAAGAAGCACAAAAAGAACATTAACTTAACCAAATTCACAATAATATAAATATTATAAAAATATCTGCATTACGTTTTCAAAAGAATAATAATTATTATATTAGTCAATTTCATGTTTAACTTTATTTAACCAACAGTTGTGACAACAGTATAGTAAATAGTTATTGTGGTGAAGACAGGTTTTGAGAGAGAGAGACGGGGAAATAATTATAACTAATAACTAATACCTATCATGTTGGTGAGTAAACCAAATAGTTACTCTGCATCACGATGGAAAGAAGGCCATGAAGAAGAGATGCTTGATTTTTACACAACACTATCATGTGTGTACTATCAACATATAAATCATTAATTTTTTATATTACAAGTATTGTCAATACCAAGTTATCAAGAAAGCCCCCAATTTAAATAATAATGTTGCTCTGTGCGTGCTGGATAATGTTTGCCCTCACAACTTTGTGGCCAAACATGCAATTAATGCAGCTTTTAGATTAGGTAAATGTAATTAAGATTAAGATTAAGATTCCTATTTTTGGTCCCACGCACAGCATGCAACATGCAAACATGGGGAAATTTGACCTCTGTATTTAACCCATCTGTGTGAACGGAGCACACGGAACACACAGAACACAATCCACACAGTGACCACACACGGAACAGTGGGCAGCCATGAAGGCGCCCGGGGAGCAATTGGGGGGTTTATATAATTTTTACAGTCCTACCTGGGGATGAAGACCTTCTCCAGCTGCTCCATGGTTTTCAGCGCAGCATAGTATCTGCAGAGACAAATGATATAGCATCAGTAATTTGACACAGTAATTTTTTCCTTTATTATTACAGGACAGATTTTAAAATGAGTCCTAAAAGAAAGGTCAGGTTCCAATATTAAGTTTTTGAAGTTTGTTTAGGTTTAAGTTTATGATCCTTTTCATATGCTCTTCAATGTAACATCTATAGTCTGTTTTTCAGAGGCTTGAAAATCATGTAACTATCATTCTAAAAGTTCCAGTGTAAGATGTAGGTGAGAGGGATCTATTGGCAGAAATGTACCAGAGTCACTAGCAAGTAAGAAAAACAAGATTTATGTCTAATTTATTTAAATAGTAATCAGTGTATTAAAACAAGGTTAACTTGTATTGTCACCAGTAGAAGAAAAACATATTGTATGAAGGGCAAAGCGGCAAACCTCCATCCAAGACAAGACTTTTCCTAACCCAGAGCACGGATTCTTTTCAAGACACATATTCACTTTGCACGGGGACACTCCCCATCACTTATGAACCATAACGATTCAGCAGCATCTAAGCTGGCCAAGCTCAGAGCCTGGCGTGGCCACAGAGGACGCCCAACAGAAGCCCGCTGGTGGAAGACATTGGTAAGTCCGGCTGAAGAGCGCGAGTTCTCCATGACCTCCCCAGTCAGTTTGTACTTTTAATTTCATACAAAACTGAGGTCGTTGTAAATGGCCCTAAACATCTCGGAGAAACACTGTCTGACCTTGGATGGTGTCAGTTAGGCCCCCAGCTCCACTGTGAGGAACCTTGGAGTTATGTTCTACCAGGACATGTCTATCATGTCTATCATTTGACCCGCATATAAAACAAGTCTCCAGGACAGCTTTCTTCCACCTGTGCAATATTGTGAAAATTAGAAACATCCTGTCTCAGAAGGATGCTGAGAAACTAGTCCATGCATTTGTTCCCTCTAGACTAGATTACTGTAATTCTTTATTATCAGGATGTACCAGGAAGTCTGTGAAAAGTCTCCAGTTGGTCCAAAATGCTGCAGCACGAGTGCTGACAGGAACTAGAAGGAGAGATCACACATTTTTCTCTGCTCACCCCAACCAGTCGAGGCAGATGACGCCCACATTGAGTCTGGTTCTAGAGGTTTCTCTCTGTTAATGAGGGAGTTTTTCCTCCACTGTCTCCAAAGTGCTGCTCATTGTGGGAACTGTTGGGTTTCTCTATATTAATACCATTTTAAGGTCTTGACCTTCTATGTAAAGTGCCTCGAGATAATGTACATTATGATTTGGCGCTATACAAATAAAAATGAATTGAATTGAATTAGTCTGCCTACACAAAGGTAAGTGAGGCAGACAATACAAATAAATGGCGTACACCGCAGAGAATAAATTAAGTGTTACAGGGCGAATGTGAAGGAGCCAGCTCTGAGCGTAGGACTAGCAGGTAATACTAACAATGAGCCAGTTCGCGTCGACTTGTAACACACACACCAAAACCTCTTAGTCTGTTCGCCGGACACTCTAGATGTAGAGCAGTGTGAGATTTAATTCTCAGAATGAAATGTGTGTTTCTTTCTGTGCAAGGGTTCAGCTTTGGGTCAGTGTGCTGGGCTCCCATCGTTAGGCTGACAGGCAGGCTGTGAAGGGATCTAATTGGTCGGTGAGTGTGTGTTAAATGTGTTGCATACACATGAACAGAAGACAGACTCATAAACTGTACAGTGAAAAGGTTTGTCAAAGTGCATGGCACTGGGACAGAGGACACAAAGGCTGCAAGTGGCAGATAATTGAATAGAATGTGACCTGGGCATCAGCACATACAGTTCTAAAAATGTGCATTTGAGCAATACAAACTCACTCCAATACTTGGTAACAGTGTATAAGCCATGTCATTACTGCTTAAAGTACCCTCCATGCACACAGATCCAGGGTGGCCAGCATGGTCTAACTGGCTGTGACAGAGCTGAAGTGAGGGGGCCTTGTTCTAAACAAGGGCACACTGAGGGTCAATTGTCCTGCCAGTGAATGGCCTTTTCCTTTGGTACACACTAATGAACAAGAAAAGGTAATTAATTTCCTGTCTAAAGTGAACTCTCCTTCCCTCTTTATACAGACAGGCATGTAAATGTGGCCAAACATGAAGTTCATGGGGTAAAAATAAAGTTCAATCAAACCCACAGAGCAGCGGATGAGTTAGAAAGCGAGTGTGGAAACCTGCATCATGAATACTGGTTTAATAGGATGTTGGATAAAATTCAGTTTAATTATATTCATTTGTTTAGCGCCAAATCATAACATACATTATCTTAAGGCACTTTGAATAGTAAGGTTGAGACCTAAAATTTTTAGAGTAATCCAACAATAATGAGCAAAGATTTTGGTGACTTTTAAAAAAAAACTTCTAGCAGAAGCTGAACTGGTTGGGTGAATGCTCTTTGTTGGACAGTTGGTAAATTTTATTTATATTATTGTTTTTATATAGAGCTTTTCTAGTCTTGATGAACATTCACACAAACATTCATACAGTCCATCTATGGCAGCACTTTTTTTCTATGAGGGGTTCATCATCTTGCCCAAGGACACTTAGGCATGAAGATGGGAAAGACTGGGATTGAAACGCAAACCTTCTGGTGAGAGGTCGACACAGCGGGAGGAGAGCTGGGTGCAGCAGACAGAGGCAGGGAGTTACGTGATTTCACGCGATTTTATTGACAGCACACAGACACCAGCATCAGCCCTTATTACCAAAAACTGTCTTGACATCTCAGTCTGTGTCTTCTACATGTATGACGCCGCTTTTTTACCCGGAGATACTGTATTTGTTTTCTTAATTTGTGTTAATTTGCTCGTGGTAAATCCAGCGTCCACACATCAGATTCTCCTGATTTTCTACGGGCTTTATACTAGGAGGCGAGGCGGAGAAAGTCCACAGATAATCTGAAGCTGGATTCAAATTCGACTTGAAACGGCATAATTCAGACCTGAAGGTTATGGTCAGGCTATTCATGATGTAATTGTCTGACTTCATTGTGATTTCTTCATGATGTTGCTTATGAAGTTTAATCATCTGATGTGGAATCACATTCTAACAATAGCTTAAGATTGTCTATCATCATCTCATCCTTTAAATTGAATCATCTGCCAATTCGCTCTCACATATTACGCTCACCAAGTTTGGTAAATATTTTTCCCACGAGTTACTGAATTATTTTGTCCACGCATACATACACACACACACACCCCTATTGCGCAGCTATGTCGGTCTGCAGGGTACTAAACAAATTGTTATTTTTAACATTCACATCAGCCCAGAATCAATCAATTGTCATTGCACCAGCATATAAGCAGGTCATTGTTTCCACCCGTCAGTGTGTGTGTGTGTGTGTGTGGAAAAATTACTAAACACATGGTAGATTACTTATTTTCAGTAGTTATTTGCTTTATGAGCCAGAGTGGCTCTGTGCTTGCTGACTCTCGTCTCTAGTGAATTCACTGCCAAGTGAATTCACAGCTAATTACTGCCACCTATTGACACAACAAGGACATAACATGACATGAGACAACTTGGGCAACAAATCACGTCGAAGACGTAGATTATGTGCTAGGACGATGGCTCAGGGTTTCAGCGCTTTGCGTTCACCATTGGCATTCACTCTCTTCATTCAGCCTATGGGTCGACCACTTCTTCTTTCTCTTTCCTCATTAAGCTGGGGAAGCAACACCTGATTTTCCAGGGCACAGCAGCACATCACTGCGATATGAACCTTAATGCTGTTTATGATCCGCCAGTAAAACCAAAGAAGAATGGCTCCAAAATGTTTCACTGATATTGCACTGCTGTGCCATGTGAAATCAGCGTTGTACATTTTGCAGCTAGCAGTCTTCGTTGAAGGCTTGACCAAGCAATTATAAAATTAGTTGCCAAATATTCTTATAATTGATGAAATTGATTAGTTGTTGCAGCCCTAATTTGTTGTTACCTTTTGGTTTCCAGCTGCTCCTTCAGTTTGCTGTACATTTCTAGCACTGCAAAAGAAGAAAACATGTGAAAGTGGATCAGTAGAAGGCTTTTTTGGTTTAAGCTTTACTTTACTCAGTTTTGCTCCTAAACAACAAATCTGTAACCAAAGTAAATCCATCAATACTATATATAATAATACTATAATACTATACTATACTACTATCTATACCCTTATCCTGTCATGGTAGCAGGAGAGCCAGAGCCAATCCCAGCTGAGATTGGGCGAGAGGCGGAGTACACCATAGACAGGTTGCCAGCGCATCGCAGAGCCAATATACAGAGACAAACAACCATTCACACTCACATTGCTGCACTATTGCTCCCGTTGTTCCACTATGGTCCATTACATTGTTACTGTCCACAAAGACAGTAAGACCTCATAATTTCCGCTGCAGTTGCGGCATGCATGCGGCTTTTTTCCCCTCACGTGAGAACTTATCTTACCCTTCAGTCTGTGTGCCTTTCAACTGGAATCTGTTGCATGCAAGAGTGACCTTCGTGCACATGCACCCTGTTACTGCCATAGACTGAATCAATTCTGTGGGAAATGCTGATGTTTGTTTGTCTCTATATGTCAGCCTGGTGATGGGTAGATAGATTGGATATCGTGGCTCGCATCTAAATTCATGTGAGAATATTTGCTGAGTTGAACAAATCAAATTTGAGGCACCACATTACCACTAGATATAAGTGCATTAGTGACCATCATATTGACACACAGGCAGCAGCGGTACCTGGTATACAAAGCTGCAGCTTCTCAACAGTCGTGGCCATGTTCCTCTGCTGGATCCGACAGCAGATCACCTCCTCTGTCTGAGATGTCACCTGAGAGAAGGAACACACAGTGGAAGGAGACAATAGGAAAGAGGCCACCACTGTTAATTACTGGGTCAAAGAAGGTCATGTTTGACGCATGACTGTCTTTTCATTTAACGAGCATGCATGTGTCTTCTGCAGATTCATGCATTCAGGAGGAACACAGACTTACCTCCCTCCCAGCTTCTTGTAGTCTTCGATTAGTGTCTGTCACTTGACCCTTTGAAAACAAAAACAATCATCAGTTTAACAATTTTCCTTTCACTCTTTTTTCTGTATTTTTAAATTTCACACTACTTACTTATTTAAACAGGATTCAAAAAATGCTTGATTGAAAAATGCATATATATGTATATACAGTATACATACAGTATAAGTTTGTTTGAATGTGAATATTTACTGTAACATATTCACAATGTAAGTGATGAAAGCATCTTACCCAAAGTGATACAGAGCTAAAACTAAAATTAAAGTGTGAAAATAGCCTCCGGTGGAGTTGATGCAGATCTTCTCACATTGGTATGGTTGGTAAGTCATGTTTTCTTATGATAGTCAAATCTTTTTTTTAGAATGTATGAATACCTTGGTTTTGCTTTATCCATACATGCTGTCACATGTCTATCTGTTCTTCCTCACTCTGTCTGCCCCCCCTCTCCGTGCCCTCTCTTTTCCCTCTCTACTTCCCTCTGTGCAACTGCTCAGCCTTGTAATCAGCTCATTGTCCATGAAGGGTCAAGAACAAAGGCAGGAAAATTCGGATTAACCAGGCGATGAGGACCTGAACCCATTGCTAGTGCACTGGGCCTTTCATGGGGTTTAATGGCTTGTGACAGGCTCTTTCTCACAGATTCAGTGACAAACTTGTCGATTCTGGACGGGGATTTTTGAACTCTCGGCTCTTGACGCACGGCTGAGAGCCATGACCCAATTGACCAGTCAGCTTTTTGATGACAATTCTTTCAACAGTGAAGCTTTCAAATGAAATGGACTAACTACATAATCACTATGTCTTACTTCCCCCTGCAAGGTTACGGCACCAGAGCAAGAGTGAAGTGACATGGCTAAAAACTTAACTAAGACTTTTACCTAACAAGATAATGCTGGTTAAGACCAAGGACCTTTGGGAAATATGATATGGTTATGGTGCAGTGGACATTAACAGGTTTTTTTTGGTAGTTTTTCCTCAATCTAGTTGAGGGTCAAGGATGCTGCACCTTGTTAAGCCCTATGAAGCCAATTGTGATTCGTGAATATGGGTTATACATCAAAAATTTGATTAAGGTTGAGTTGAAGAGCACTTCTGCAAAAACGTTAGCAACAAATCAGGCCAAGGGCAGCTACAGAGATAGCTTGTGTTTCTGATACCGGTGGAGATAATCAAAAGCAGGTTGAGAAAAGATAGCTCCACTGCAAAATTTCTGCTAACTGTGGCCACTGCTCTGTGTGAATGAATGATCTGATCTGATATGTTGATTTGTTTGCAGCCCAAGAGAAGAGAGAGACTAGTGACATTTGTTTAACTGTCATATTTAAGCTCTGTCATCACATAACCCCTGATATTTTCTTAAATTGATCGAATCTTTCTTCTGCATTTATAAAGATTTAGCAGATAATGTGAGTCACAGATCAAACGGTCCTGTTATCAGCTGTAATGGAGATATTATAAACGTCACTACAGTAATCTATCTTACCATCAGTTTCTCTGCATCAGTGCGGACTTTGAGGAGCTCTGTTATGGCGTCCACAAAGCCTTGGTGGTGGAAGTTGCACATTTTCTCAATTTCTCTGTCATGGTTCCTTATCCTGGCATCCAACTTTTCCATGAAGCGCTTGTGGGCATTGGGCTGGTCATCGTAAATAGACCTGAAAGACACAAAAGAGGTGAGGAAAAGGGATAGAAGAAAAATTAATGATAGACAACTTTCAGAATAACTGTAAGAATGAAAAGGAGTCGCTCCACTTTTTTTTGATCTTATCTTATGTCACTTTGCATGATGGAGGTCCTCACCACAGCTGCAATAAACAGCCTTCATAGGCTTACACATTGTTGCATGAGTTTTTAATTAAAATAAAATAAACTCTAGCTGACAATTATAAAAGCTGCCAAAAACATATATATATATATATATTATAATGCAAAGGTTGATAAATGCCCCTTTTTCCAATTGGAGGAGTTAATTTCAACGGTTTACATCATAGCTGCTTTCAGACAGATATGCAGTGAACTCCGGAATCGACATTCTCCAGGCTGTATATGAGAACACAAATGTCAGAGTGAGAGCCTCTGGACTTTGCCCGGAGTTTCTCAAGCCAGCCCCCTGGTAAGAAACTGCAGAGGGTCTGAATGAGCCAATGTGAGAACACAGCAAGTGATCCTCTACAGGATTCACCTCGAGCAAACTGCCTGGATGTCGTTTCTACCACAACACAGACACGGAAATGAAAAAAACCCAAATATCTCAGGATGAAAAGTGGTGTCATACATGTAATGAGACACCGACAAAGATGTCAAGAGAGCATTTTGGTGATGAGTCGTGATGTCTGTGTCGATGTGTTGCACACAAAAACACTCTTTTCTCCACAGCAGAATTAATACATTACGTCCTGCCTCTGCCCCACCACCCCTCACCAAAACGCTCCATGGACTCCTGTGTTGTTGTGAACGCGTCTGAGTGGAGTCTCCTGCTGCATTGTTCATGTGAGAAAGACAAACTCCAGGAGAAGTTCAACTGATGAATTCTATGAGCCCATGGCCTACACTACTGACATCCCCATTCATTTCTCCTGGAGTAACAGCTCCATCTAGTGGAGCCATGAGTAAATGCTAAATCAATAATGCTAAATAGTAAAAGTATAATTGTGTGATTCTGAACATCTCTGACACTGATATTTGGCTTTATGACCTCATACCCACCTCACTAAAACAGGATAACACACAGGCCCTTTAATTAATAGTGGCTATACAGCTTTACTTAATAAAACAAAACCAAAAGCGTTTTTATAACAAGGGATTCTTTTTAGGCAGCATCAACAATAGAAAGGATTCAGACATCATTGCACACCTACTGTAGTAAGGCAGCCTCCATAGTCTTATTTATCCTGCCATGGTCCAAATAAATCTCAAAAACAATCCCTAACTAGTTGTTTTGCACTGCAAATAGATAAATACTATTATGATTATTTTACTTTTGACTGAAAATACTTGTTATACTTTACTATGGACATTCTATTCTTAATATAAACTGTGCATTTCATCCAAGGTATTTAAAAAGATCAAGGTTGGATTGAAGCTGCAAGCAGTATTGACAAACGCTCACACATGTTGGAGGCCTCAACGGACACATTGCTCATTCACTTCAAATGGGGCAATGTCTTGAGTTGCCAAACTGCATTGTAATTCCGTTGCTTTGCTTTACTTGTGCTGAATGAAGAAGACGTTGAGAAAAGCTCAACTTTTAAAGCAGTAGCACGGGTACTAGCCAAACGATTCAAGTTTATGTAAATGTTCACGCGCAGGCAACAGCCATTCAAATCACATGGATTCAAATACACAAAGAAATCAGACGTCAGAATGACCTAGAGAAATGAAGCAGAGACAGCTGGTGAACCTGACATTTGTTCATCTGGTGGTAGAGTTCATTTTCTGTGCAATTCCCTTAAACAGGAACTTCACTAACCTTCAACCTACTTTGTATTGTTACAATAAATAGTATATCTTCTGTTGACAAAAGTCCGCCAGATGACCAATTTTAAAGTATGGCGGACTTCTGCAAGCTCCTTGGCCATGTGCTAGAACTTGTACAGTTCTTTTGCATTTTTTTATGATCAAGGAAGGGGCAGTGGAATCAAAACATCCTGATTGAAATCAACCAGTAAGAACAACTATAAGGCACGGGAGATATGGAGGACAACTATATTGAAAGTGAATTAAATGAGCCTGAAAAAACTGTGAAGGAACTACAGCATATGGAGGAGGTAGAGGCCGCCACTGCCGAGAGTGAAGATGTGCAGAGCTGCATCGTACTGGGAGACAATTGGTGGTGCCACTGTGGAAAATGTACATCTGTGCAAACAAAAGAAGAGTCACTGTGTTGCAGGGAATTTCCAGCTCCTGCATGTGTAACGTGACACAAAATCTTCAGGCCACATATAAACAAAGGAGTGGGTGACGTAGTTCAAGGGTGACGTAGTTCAAGGTCCCGAAAAGAAACGGGAGAAAACAATCAATGCCAGCACAGAGTAATTTCTTTGTTCCTGACAAGGCAACATATACATAGTAAAAATGTATATTCCCATTTATCTAGCTTAGCATATACACTGCTTGTCTTGTATTGTATGTTTATTTGTTACCAGGTGGTGGTATAAGAGTTTAACCAGAATGTAGTAGATCTGACTGGTTTTGTTGTAGTACCAGCAGAAAAAGTAGGCCAGTACTGTCCCATACTCCCTATAACAACATGCTTTAGCACCAATACACAGTACCAGCAAAAGGGGACATCAGCTGGCTGCTTACACCCACAAACAACAACCTCATCATACACCACAGTTAGCATCTACTAAATAGCTTCTTAATAGCTCCAGTGTAATTGTTCCCTGTTCGTAACATAATAGATAAGATCAAATGTCCATCTTAAAAGAGCTTGTGAATGTGTTGTGAATTTAAATGTAAAATAGTAAAATAAAATATGGATTCAGTGCCGACCTGATTACATTAGTACTACTGAGTACCAACTCACATGAAACCAAACCGTGCCAAAGTTTGGTACCTGAGAGCAAGTGTGGGTGACAGTGAGCGGAGCATAGTGGGTGGAAATAATGCACTCACAAGCTGAAGAAGAGCCCAAAGCGGTCAGACACAGGGCTCATTGGACGCTGGCCAGGAGAACACATCAAATCAAAGGTTGGCAGTTTGATCCCCGGTCTTCCCCATCTGCATGCCGAAGTGTCCTCGGACAAGATGCTGAACCCCGAATTGCCCCTCTTAGAACAAAAAAGTAATGCTGATAGATGCACTGTATGAATGTGTGTGTGGATGGGTGAATGGAAAACCGTACTGTAAAGAGCTTTGAGTGGTCATCAAGACTATAAAAGCTCTATATAAATACAAACCATTTACCATCAAACTTGAGGAAATGCAAGCTCATATTAGCACACATACATAGCACCAAAAAAGCTGAACCTTCCAGGGACATGAAACAGCTAATTCATTGGCTCCTCACATTAAGTTGTTGTTGGAGACAACTGGGCTTTTATCACTATCATGGCTGAAATTAATACTCAGTCCCTGGTTACATCCAATATTCCTCACCAAAATGATTTTAGTGTGCTAAAATAAAATGTAAGATTTTTTAGTAATCCCTTTAAGGGCTAAAACATTTTCATTTTCACTTTCATTAATGATAGATCTTTTTATTTAATCTACAAAATGTAAAAATAATATTTTAAATTGCTTTAGTTTCCTAAACCTGTCAAAAAAAAATCGATCCCCCAATATATTCAGTTCAGTATATGGCATAAAGAAAAGCAGCAAATCATCACAATAGTAAAGTTGGACTTAACTATGTTTGGTGTTCCATAACTAATTACTATAAGAGCTCCTCACAGAACTCAACCTTTGCATTAGACCTGATATAATGGCCAGGCACATGCAAACTGGACAGAAGCCATCTGTGTATAGTCCAGTCATCATTAGTTTCCATGCTGCCTTATGAGCTTCCTCTTTCCTGCTATTAATATTTCAGAGCAGGTGCTTGTTGAAACAAATAGATCCCTGTGTTCCTGCTTCCTGTCAGGACAAGAAGAAACTTCGGCCAGTTTAGGTGACCTGTGGGTTACAATGCTTTAACATGGCATTTACCAATATGTGAAAAGTCCGTCATACCACCATACCGGACCCATTTTTACCAGACAATATATTTTTATAGCTTTTACTACTTCTTCTTTTAACCATCTGTCATGCTGCATTGAAGACTATAAAAAAATAACATGGCTGAAGTGTTGTACTGCTGAACTGTTTCACCTGAATATGAGACTAAAAATAGATGTATTTAATATGTGTGAATAACATGACTCATGTTACAAATATGTAACCCAAGCAGTGTCTATTTTTTTATAAGGGTTGAAAACACAACACAATGATAATGAAACCATAACTGTAACTATGCTGTAGCTTACGGAGCCCAACGTGAGCAAGATGAGCAGACTGTTTTGGCATTTAGAACTAAGAACAGCTACTTAATTATAGCCATAGCATAAGCCAGCAGAAAAAAAGGGAATGTGAAAGTGAATTTACAATCAAGTTCAGACACTGGGGTTGTAAAGATACACATGTTCACTGAGGTCCAACAATAATAATCATTAACAAATCAGTGCAGAAACATTTAGCAGCAGTGTCTCATTTTTATCTGAATGAGTGTTACCCTGCAGCTGATATAACTTCATCAGTAATTTAAAATTGAAATTTCTGAACCACGACCTTCGGATCAGGATGCAAAAAAACTAAAGTTCATGAGATCAACTAGTCGACAGCTGAATATGTCAGTTTATTTTCTAATAGCAGATACCTGTAGGTAAAGGACTCATCTCTGAATCAGGGCCAAACATCTTGATACAGAAAAAGTCAAAAACCTAACTTCAGTTCAAATATAAACCTCTTGATGTATATGTCTTGTATTGTCTTATTAGGAAAGATATATTATTTGAAAAAGGTACATTTACGTACAAAAGTTTCTAAATTTAAGGAGCTTAAGAGCATATGTGCTCCTTGGGAAAAAAGTAAGCATCGCAATTTGACAATTGAAGTGAGCACTGAAGCCTCCTTGCACAGCTTGCATAAATAAAGTAGAGATTTTAACTGAATATTAATGACAAATTTGGAAATCAATTAACATGAACATGTTTACTACATAATAGTCTATTATTTTCATTGAATACAGGCAAATACTCTTACATTTTCCATTAAATTTAATTCAGGGTAGAAACCTAAGCTGAGTGATGGCCCTTGTTCTTTTCTAGCAGGAGGTAAATAAAATCTTGACTTCTAAGTTGTCTGGAAAGCAGTGTTAGTCACCACCCAGGAGATGGGTGGTGACTAACACTGCCAGGTCCCAGGGCCTGACACAGCCGAATGAACACAGAAGAATGAAGTCTTTGGTAGTGAAATCTATGCAAAAATCACACCGCTTTGAGAAACTTTGTTAAACTGGTTTCTTGGTTCTGTTCTCAAACTTTCCCAAGTATGTTAAGGAGCCAATGACAAGGCAAAAGGCAGAAATCCTAAGCACGAGAACATGCTGTTTAAAGGTGACTGTCGATAATATCATAGAGGAATTACGGAAATGAAAACAGGCAGCCAGAGGTGAGTCCCTTCAGAGCAGATAGCCACAGATTAGCCCCAGGTATGCTGACGGCCCACTACAGCCTGTGTCACAGTGTGTGTGTGTGTGTGTGTGTGTGTGTGGCAGAGCTGCAGACATTAACCTGAAGTCTTCCTTATCATTTGTTGACTGAATGTCGTTCACCATGGCCTTGGAAGCTAGCTTCACACCTGCCTACAATGCAGCATTGCTAGTGAAGGCTAGCCTGAGTAGTTCCTCATCCAGTCTCACCGCCATCAAGCTCTTTGACAGACAGACAGACAACACTGGGAGTCACAGTGACTCATCCACCATGGCACACAGGGATGTCAGTGGCGTTACTTTCTATTTTCTGATGAACGACAACCCGGGATTGTTGACAGTCAACACAAAGTCCCACCGCCACACCCACAAATGATGTTTACATTTTTTGACAGGTCACCAGTCTTCATTACGATCCCAGCAGCTGCGACCCCCCTCCCCCCACCTCAGATTTACAAGAGCTGCTCTCAACTGGCACAAATGTTGCTCGGTGTTAGCCGTTAGCCTGTTAGCTAGCATGCCAGCTAGGCTGACGGCTCATCGCAAACCCCATACAGCCTGACAGCAAGAACCGTTAGCCTGCCGGTGGCTAGGTTGGCTAAGCTAGCTCATGGACAAAAGGTCTGATAATGTCAGCGACGCCAGCACGCACACAGACATTACAGTGGCGAGGAGCTCTCCGGGGAGCCGCGGGTTCTCACCGAAGAGTCGGACCAACACAAGCCGTGTCGGTGCTCTCAATTTCCTGTAGAATCCGCTCGTGCTCCGTTATACACTCCAGGGTTTCATTCTCCGCCATGATTGTTATGTGTGTATTGTGGCTGCATCTGCAGCGGAGCACAGGCCAGTGCGGCATCTGGTCTGTAGGGGGCGCGCTACAAGCGTCAGCTGTGTGACAGCGGCTTGGTGTCCACACGTCAGACTTCACCTGAACTCAACTGTGGTCAACAGAAAGCAGAACATGCTGCATGTTGTTGACTGTTGAAATGCAGAATTTAAATTATTAATATTTATCTTGATCGTATTTCAATTATTATTATTATTTTGATATACATGGGAGCATGTTAATGTACATAGTTCTTTGTATGATGTGTATGTGCCTTTTCTGTCTTTTACTTTTTCCATTGTAACAAAATAATAAAGTACTAATCCTAAAATATCCTAAAATATATATATTATATATAATTGACATTATTGAAATTGTAAATGGTTTGTATTTATATAGAGCTTTTCTATTCTTGATGACCCCTCAAAGCACTTTACAGTATAGTTTGCCATTCACATTCATACAGTGCATCTATTAGCAGCACTTTTTTTGTTTTTTTGAGGGATAAGCATTTTGCCCAAGCAAGCAGATGGGGAAGACTGGGATTGAACTGCTGACCTTCTGGTTAGAGGATGACCATGCTACCCCTCAGCCACAGCCGCATAAATGAGACCTACTAACAAAGAATGCACATTCACATTGGATTCAAAACAAGTACATTTACACCATGTTTTTAGCCTACATGTCGTTTGTGATCCAATGCGTGAACGTGGCTCCGGAGGAAGATGCCAGCGAACATTTAGACTGAAAACATGTAAATGATGCTGTTTGGTGAGTAGATATTGAGTGAATTTAAATTTTTGGGTGAAGTATCCCTTTAAATGCATTGTGTGCAAATATCTGTCGATGCTCATGAAGACATCTGAATTCTTGATGTTAAGATCAATCCACATTTTACATTACTCACTTTGTAAATCAGATCAGTGACTCCATCATCGATCTTGGTCACCAGTTAAAAAATGTCCTGAATGAGTTTGAGTTTACCTTAAGCTGGTTCCTAGGGGCAAGTCCACAGATTCTAACTCTGCAAAAATATTTCCAAACACTTTCTCCTCTTCTCTGTTGTCCTCTTCATTCTGACTGGGAGGGTCAGGTAAAGCAGCATGGACCCTGTCAGCGGCCATTTCTCTCTTCACACTCCTGAGTATGAGAACTAGATTTCTGCATGTATGAGAGAGGACACCCAGAGCTGTGTGTGTGTGTGTGTGTGTGTGTGGAGAATTCCAGGGCACTGGCTGCAGTCAGCAGAAAAAGAGGGTGCAACAGGAAAAAGAGACCTTGTGATTCACTGGACTTTGAAACCAACAACAGTAACTTCTGTTAATCTCTGTTTTAACATTTCTCACACACTGTGAACCCTGAAGAGGCCTGACCTGTTGGTTTTATCCAACAGATACACACACACATACAGTCAGCATTTAGACTTGCAGATGAGATGCTGATTTTTGGTTGTGGCCACTGAATGAATGAATGAATGATGACGGCTTGGGAATGGTGGTTGTTGAGATTCTACTACAATACATTTTTTTATTTATTTAATACCAAACCCATAGTGACACAGAGCCAATCTGAGAAAATGTTTGGGTGTCAGTAAAGAATGAGTGCAATTACACAAACTCTGACTTCTCTCAGCTAACTTTAACACAAAATATTATTATCTTAATGCCTTTAAAATTAAAATAAATACTTCAGTGAAGATTTTACGTCCATAACTTTTGGGGACTTTTGAGAGACAAATTAAAAGAGATCAAGGGAATGGTCAAACTTGGAGCTTTATGGACAAAGCACTAAACAGGTGATTCATTCATTCACAGCATGAAATAAGAGCAAATGCCATCTAGGTAGGCAATAAGTTTCAGATGATTGCAGAAATGGCACTCAGTAAAATCGTTGAAAATGCAATCTCAAATCTCGAAATGTTAAAGTGGCAGCTGATCCAGATCCGCACCAAACTGTAATAGCAGAACATGACCAGCTCACACAACCACTTTCTATCTCTTTGCAATTCTTTTCAAAATTGATTGGGCCATTAGGATTGTGGATGTAATAGTTGATAATAAGCACTTTACAAAAGACCTGACTATGAGTTTCTGTATTACCCCACAAAAAAACAAGAAGAGAGTATCAATCTATGATTGGTGGTCCTGGCACTACATGAGTGAAATGTGTTTGTTTTCCAGGTCTGCTCCTTTGCACCACCATATAACAGCCTCCATACTCCTTGTTAACCTGTCTCAGTCTGGCAGCATAAATCAGCACTGAGGGTTTGCAGGTTGCAAAGGTACAGGAAGTGCAGATTCAGAATCATTTCTCTAACTCTCTAACTCTACCTACTAAGAGACAGTGTGACCATGAGTTCGGCTGTCAGTGGGTAATGGTCTGCTCATGATTTCAGAGGTCTTAATAAGATGGAAAGTAAACTGTTGGCCGTATGACTATAGAACACAATAAAGCTGGGATTCCATACTGTCATTGAAAATTGATTATTCATTCAATCTATTTCAGAATTGATTCAAATGTTTTCTATTTTCCAATTATATCATAGTGCTATAATCAAGAATGCAGCATTTCATACAGGTGAAAATGAATAGGCCAGTTTTTTGTGCCCCTCCCTGTCATTGACAGAAGCTACAGGTAATAGAGGAACAAGTCTCTGAAAACAAAACCAACAAATGATATACTCAAGCAGGGCTATATGTACAGTATAATAGTTTCTCTCAAATACTAATTAGGTGCCTTATTCAGATTTTACGTGATTTAATCAGTGTCTCTGTTTGTTTTTGAGAAGAGGAGACACCTCCTGGTGAATACCTGTTAACGCTAAAGGAATCCTAACCACGAGGAGCTGACTGCAATGACAGCAAGGGTGGTGAAGACAGCATTTCCCAGACATGAATAAGAATGAGTCGCTTAACTGATCTTAACTTGTTTTCTCATTACTGATTGTGGAACTTGTCACACTGAATACCTTGGACACAGGTTTTGTCTGCACTGTCAACAGCAGTTGTGTTGCAACAGAGAGAAAAGGAAGAAGAGAGAAAACAGGAAGAGAGGAGAGCGGATGTCGGTTTGTGTGTGTGTGTGTGTGTGTGTGTGTGTGTGTGCATGTGTGCGTGTGTGAGAGTGTGTGTGTGTAAGCAGTGGCATCATACTCTGCTGTTGGCCTCTGGATGTCCAGTTATACATCCTGTCCTTCAACTCATTAGCGCTGCAGGTTTTCCCTTTTGTTTTCCGGTGATTGGCTTATACTTTTAAATCATCCTCTTTGTAATGTTTGATTCTTCTGTGTCCAAGACAGACATCTTTTCATATAAAGTGGTAGATAACTCTCTTTTTTTCATTGGGTTTAGTTGCTGCACTTATGGGTTCAGTGTGTAGACTTTTGTGATATGAAATGTTGAAGTTCCATGTAACAGCTGAACACCCCTCACCTCACCCTCTCCTTCCAAACATGGAAAAGAACCTGTGATAGCTTCAGTTGTCATAAAAACTCAAAAGGTGTTTAGTTTGTCCAGTCTGGACTAATGTAAAAAACATGGCGGCCTCTGTAGAGAGGACCCCCTCCATGTAAATATAAAGTATTTAAATATAAAGGGTCTTTTCTGGGGTAAAGAAAACTACAATTCATACAATCTAGATTAAACGAACTAGTGAAAACATCATGAGGATTATTCTACATTCAATTTCTGCCAATAGATCCCTTTCACCTAAATCTTACACACTGGACCTTTAGAGCTGCTGTCAGACACGCACTGAATTTCGGAGACCCTCAAAACGGGGGCTGTATGTGCTTTAGACAAAACACCTGAACCTCCACAGCAGAAGTCATATGTTACATCCTGCCTCGGTGTGCTGCTCCATCCCTCACCAGAACACTCTGTAGACTTCTGTGTAGGTATGACCACATCTGAGCAGAGAATCTGCTGCTGCATTGTGCATGTGTGAAGGCAAGTAACGAATCAAATTCTCTGGAGATCCTCCAGAAACAAAAATGGTATGAAAAACTATAAGCTAAGCTGCAATGAGGAAGATGGAGCTGATGACCTATAAGGATGTTGAATGTAAACCTGTCACATGCAGCCATCTCTGCCACTAATTCAGTTTGGATGTGGTATGAACCCAGTGTTCTTGATGCTTCAGTGGGCTTTTACTTTCAATTTTGTCATTATGAAATCCCAACTGTTGCAACAAATAACTAGCTTAACCGCTGGAACCTCTTGTCACTCATATCCGAGCAGGTGTGCTGGTTCAATCATCACTTATCTGCCAGAACATTATTTCATTCAATGATGTTTTGGCCCACTCTTCAACCAGCCTCTCTTCTTGCTTGTCATTTCAATCTGTTTGTAACATGCTGAACCAAACCTGCAATTTCTTGTTCTCAGAATCATCAGCTTGTTTAGTGCCTGCCCCAGCACATCAGTGGGTTAGCACACCCCCTGAGCTATATGCTCACTCTGCCTTGTCTTACCTCTTGCTTGTCAAAGTGTGGATCATCTTGACCCTTCATTTTGAGAATAACAGCATTGCCAGCAGCCACTGTTGCATCTCAGTCAGAACTACCATCCTGTCAGCTCATCTTTTGTATTAAAAGGCTCTTTTCACCTGAATCATATCTCTTTGCTTATATTCTGTACTTTGATTCAAATCTCTTCTAAAATCCTGAACATACATGAAGCAGCAAGGTCCAGCATCCATCATTTTCAAGTGATACATGTAAGGTCAGTATTTAAAGGTACAGTGTGTAGAATTTTGTGATATCTTGTTGAAATTGCATGTTGCAGCTGAACATGAAAAAGAACCTGTGGTAGCTTCAGTTGTCATAAAAACTCAAAAAGTGTTTAGTTTGTCCAGTCTGGACTAATGTAAAAAACATGGTGGCCTCCATAGAGAGGACCCCCTCCATGTAAATATAAAGTATTTAAATATAAAGGGTCTTTTTCTGGAGTAAAGAAAACTACAATTCATACAATTAGATGAAATGAACTAGTGAAAACATCATGAGGATTATTCTACATTCAATTTCTGCCAATAGTTCCCTTTCACCTAAATCTTACACACTGGACCTTTAAGGTTGGGTTATGGTTATTTTTAATCCATATGAGAAATTCTAATATCTAATTGGTTGTGTCAATTTGACAGACCACAGCAATACTTCCCTTTCATTGTGCTGATTCAAAACTCTGACCTCAACAGATCACCCTTGTATGTTCTCAGCAAACTCAGCAAAGAAAAGGACGATGTGCAAATCATACTGAGCAATAATCTGTGTAAGTGCTCCATTTGAAAGAGGAGGATATATGGATCACAGCAGCAAGGGTCAATGTGAACTATCCCCTATTCTTCCATGTGCTTTTCCTTTCCATGGTCTACCAGCTTCCTGTCAGCTTCCTGAGTCTGTCTGTTGACCTCCACTGTAAGTTACACTCTAAGCAAAAAGAAGCGAAGGACATCCGGGAATGGAATGGGGACAGTTCACTGTGACAGCCAAGGAGGTTGTCCAGATGTTTCAGGCAAGGCCAGAGGTCTACTGGATCACATTTTAAATCTTCACGGAAATACAGTTTAAAAAAAAACAAAACTAACACCCTGGGTGTGTAAAACCTAGCTGAAGAACTGGAAGCAGACAAAAGGTTTTAGCCTAGCATGTTTTATCAGTGATAAAACAACATCATTTAATAAGACTATAGTTAACTGTATTTTGACCAATGCTGTTATAAGCTAAATTTATGTTTTAAGCTTTAAAACAGGTTTGTTGGAAGAAAATCATCTGGTGTTATGGATCTGTCCTCAGAAGCTGCAACTTGTATAATATAAAACAGTCCAAATTCACCATAACCTGCAGCTTCTGTAATATTTGAAAGAAAACCTAACACCACTGTCTCAGCAAAAACTGAACACTGCAACATTCATGGAGGATTTATTGCAGGACTGTTGGATTACACCTTTCCATATGGTGTCATCATATTACAGTCCATATTACCCTGTACCATTTGCAGGGTACAAGTGTTTGTTGATGGTAAGCATGGAGAATGACAGACGAGCTGCATATACTGTACACTAGTTTCAATGTAATGGCTGACTGGTGTATCATTTACATTGTGATCATTGTGCACCACTTTGATGAAACACAGCTCAACTCAACTGACTGATGCTGAACTGCAGAGGGAGCCAAAGAGAGAGATAGAGCCTGTAGGCATGGTAATCACCAAACATTTCAATGATCTGCATCTGTACAGTGCTTTTAGTAAATAGAGTTCCGTGTGTGCTAGCCTTTGGAACTTAAACATTTTCCCTCCATCCCTCCACTGACTCTAATTTCTTTTTTTATTGGGTATAAGGGGTACTATAAGGTGTCAGGGTACAAAATACCCTAACATTAATGATCACAATGCATTTTTTTTTCTAAAGACAAAGAGGAAGGCAAGAACCAACAGCACAGCACAAATAGAATTGATTGAGTACAATAACCAATCAGAGGAAAGGGTCACTGAGTGTGGACCACCCACAGAGGAAAAGACGAGAAGTTGGGCTGAATGTGTGTTTCATGTTCTATAACCAACATTTTAAAAATGTAAAACAAGACCTGTGTACGTGTCATCTGTACCAAAAACAAATGTTAGAACATAACTTTGTCAGTCCGGATCCTTTAACCTGTATCTAAGCACGATGACATTCAGCCTCTTGCAGCAGAGGTTTTGAGCGTCCACTGTCAGCAGGACTGGGTTGAACAGCCTGGTAAGCAGCAGAAAAGGTTGTTCTGCCATTGATTTTATGAGGCAAGATGTTACATTTGACTGATAAAGATTATTTAACATCAACATCTAGAAAAGTCAACTTTTCATTCTCTGAACATTAAACAATGTGTGTTCACAGTGTTTTTTGCAACAGTTTTCCTTTTCCATGCCCAATGCAATAAGTTGTTCAGAAACATGTATGTGGGGGTGTCCATGACACATTGAGTTGAATAAATTGAGTCAAGATGGAAAAACATAAGTTTTTCTTTAAATAAAGAAGCGCGTGCAAGGATGTCAATAACAGGGCGGCTTGGAATTATTATGGTAATAGTCTGTAAAGTTGTTTGCTTTTCTTGCAATTCTAGAGTATGAACTAGAATTGTGATTATCTAAACATCTAGAATCACTGGTGTGTGGTAGTTTACATTAAGATGAGATGGAGGCTGCTTTTCTGGGGCCCTACAGTGACATCTATTGGACAATTGAAGCAATCTCATCTGTGAAGTGACTTGTAAATATAGTTGACCTTATAACTGATTAAGGTGATGACCTCTACCAAATCATCTATTAGTACTGTTTAAATAGAAAGAATTACGCATGTTTACTCCATACAAGAAGTGGTGTAATCAAACTCACATTTCTTTCCTTCTCTTTCTTACAGATATTCTCTGCTTGAAGAAGTACTGCAGAGGGACATTTTGGACTAAATGCAGAAGCACTGGATGTTATGTTGCACTGAGAGCTAGTTTTGTTTATAAAGACTAAAGACATAAATAAAGACATGTTTGTTACGTCATTATCATCGATGCTCTATGAGCAACTATACAATGAGAGCTATTCCTTGATTTGTATTCCTTTCATGTATTAACAACCTATAGAATATGTTAATGTTTTGTAATATGCCTTTTCTGCAAAATTACCTCACCGTCATCTGTGATATTGTCAATTCCTCAACCTTTCCTATTGTGAACTTTTAATAGTAAGCATTCACTAAATCACACGTGGTAAACAATTTATGCTGCACTGTTCTCTTGAGCATTATTCTAAATGACTAAAATCTTATCTTTTTACTTCTGCAACATCCAAAACCTGATTGTTCGGATTTTGCCTTTGCACACTCTGCTTTTCTCAGATTCATCGGCATGTATGAATCCATGAAACCAAGCAGCGGCGTAGACAGAAACCTCCGCATGACTCTGAGGTGTCATTTACAGAGTTCTGCTTTTATTAATATCGAAATACTTTATATTCACATTGGGAGCAGGTCCTCTCAATGGAGGCCATCATGTTGTTTTTTTAAATGAGCCCAGACTGGACCCGATAAACACTTTTAAATTTGAGTCTGATAAAGTAGCTCTGACGTCACATTGTTCAGTTGAAATCTGGTCACATGGTGTCATCACCTTGACAACCGCAGGCGTTTCTTTACGCATCTTTCGTCTGCTGCAGATTAGAGCAAGACGTGTTTTCACGAGCTCTGTCTGTGCTTTCTGAAAGTTTGGAGAAATATCGGATCAGCTTAGTTCATATTATTCTCTGACTGAGAGGAAGTGGACCATGCAGCATCAGTGGCTTTGAAATCATGGATTTCATTTGTAGAAAACGTGTAGGCCATGCGTTATGCATGGATGCTCTTCGTATGGTGTGATTCTTATTTTTTAAATATTGATGAATGAAGAAAAAAGTTGGGCTCCAGCAGAAAGGGCACTTTTCTCATCCAGGGCCAAAGGGCAGGTGCTTGGGCCCCACTAGGAGTCTATCTGTGCATGTGCCTGATACACATGATCTGAGAAAAGTTTGTGTCCATGTATCGTTCACTCAAACACTCCCTTTTCCATGTATGAGTTCCTCATAATAATGGTTAATATTTACCAGTGTGTTAGGTGAATGTGTATATGTAGCGTGAAGTAATGACATTAATTACCTGATGACAATTAAGCTAACATTAGCTACATTAATCTCCTGCAATGCTAACTGTGCGTCGTCTGTGGAATAGTAGTACACCGTGGCTGTGGAAAAACTATGTGACTAGTATTGTTGCAAGTAGGCTATTCTATATTTATGTTTGCTGAAATATTTGCGTTACTGACTATGTACTAGTCAGCACTAGTGTACTGTTCTAAATTGTGAGTTGCAATATATATTCAGTATATTAGAAGTAAGCCGAGTTGGAGAATATTTTGTGAAATGCTGTATTTGTTTATCTTACATGCTTATGTTTACTTTATTACTGGTATCCAAAGTTGTTTAATGAATGCAAGTGCTAGGTGACAGATTAGACATGTTAAATGTCTGTTTGGATGTACATTGTCTATAGTAATATTTCAGTATAGTCTATTGACGTATGTTATATTTCAGTTCTGCAGATATTCAGCAGTAATTGTACACATTGTGGCATTTGTATTTACAGTAGGTGGTTTCCTTGATAATGAGTCATATTACACACAATCTGAGAAAACAATCTTTATTGTTCACTCAAATACTCCCTTTTTCAGGTATTTTACACTTGTACTGTACATGTAGTTCTGATAGTTTGGAACAGTGTTCAGCCTGTGTGCCTTTCTACAACATTTAGACACCACTAATAAATGGTGAACGCACCATGTAGTGCACTATATAGTGATKAGTGAGGGATTTGGAACACAGCCATAGACTCACAGATGAACTGATTCGATTTCAGTTGGTGGTGGTGAACTTCTAAAACATGTTTTGGCCTCTTGAACATATTTCAAGTCTGTCTTTGGATCATTTCCTCACATTCTGAGCAGTTGTCACCTGAAGAAGTTGAAGATGAACAGATTAGACTTCAGTGGTCAAAGTTCAGGGTGACCTCACGTGAGTCTAGAAAAAAAATGTTTTTTGACTTAAAAGATGTGTTTCCAAAGTTTCCAAAATCCACCCTGAAACACACTCATAGATCCAGGACAGATGTAACACACAGTTTGATGACATCAAATAACCATTAGGGACATGAGTGAATACAAAAAAGGTTTTACAATGCAAAGCAGCCAGGCTTAAATATGCAGTATGGTTACAGCCTGAGGAAAGTGAGTTCATTCAGTTTTATTTGTTTAGCACCAAATCATAAAATAGATTATCTCAAGGCACTTTACATGGTAAAGCGGAGACCTTGTAAAATTATAGCGAAACCCAACAGTTCCCACAACGAGCAGCACTGACGACTGTGTAGAGAAAAAAAAACTCTCTTCTACTAGAACTAAAAAACCTCAAGAACCAGATTCAATGTGAGCGTCCAAAGAGAAAGAGGAGAGAGAGAGAGACCAGGAGCTATTGTCAGACTGGTTGTTGTAATGAAAATAATTTATAGATGATAGCAGTATAATAATAATAATAATAATACTCATCATCATTATTTCTTTCTCTTTTCTTTTCATCCTTATTTTCATGTGATCTACATATTGGATGGAATTAGAAGGGATCACAACATTTCAAACATCCCTGTCACAGAGGTATCATTGGATCCACGGTGTGAGCAACACAAACAGACATTCATTCACTCACCACCTGCACAGGGGTGGAGGCAGAGACCAGTATTGGTCCGATATGATCAGAACTATCTGCACAGTGACATGCATACAGAAAATTTGTTTTCTGCATCTTTGCCATTTTGCATAAAGAATGCAACAGAACAATGTTGTACTGTCAGAAGAGGAGGAGCTGGTGTTACATTTCCCTAAATCTGCATGAGAACTGGTTAAGTTTACTGTTCGTGATGAACACTGGCACAAACAGTCCACAGAGCAGCAGCATGATGGAAGGGATCTTCTTTGGTGTCTTGTGTCTCTCAGGTCAGTGAATTTCACTGTTTGTATGATGTCTAACAGGAAATCTGAAYATAGAGATTCATTTGAGTCTTCATACATAACACAAATAACTGGTTTCATCCTCAGGGTGCCTCACCTTCTCCACATGCCTCCTCCATCAGTACCACTTTGTGTCTGATGCAATGAATTGGACTGAAGCTCAGAGCTACTGCAGAGGGAGGTACACAGACCTGGCCACCATTGAAAACACTGAAGAATTGAAGAAACTTAACGACACAGTTTCTGCTGCTGGTTACAGCTCTAAGGTTTGGATTGGCCTGTACAGTCAGATTGACTGGAAGTGGTCAGATGGGTTCACAGGGAGTGGAGCTGAATATAGGAACTGGGATGAGTCTGATCAGGATCCAGACTATATTCAAGCCAATCAGCTCTGTGTGGTCAAGTGGGGAAATGGAAGATGGATTGATTATTACTGCCATGAAGAGATTGCATTTGTCTGCTACAATGGTAATGATGTGTTTTATATGGATTTTTACAATACAACATAATGTGTAAAATATAATTTGAAAACATTGTGTGATCTCAACAATCCCTTTTTTGTTCTCTAACTGAACTGCAGGAACATTAGAGGATTCTGACTTTGTGCTAGTGAACACAACAAAGAATTGGACTGAGGCTCAGAGGCACTGCAGAGAACACTACACAGATCTGGCCACTGTGAGGAACGAAGCTGACAACGACAAGATACATAACTTGACGCAACATAATCAATGGGCATGGATTGGTTTGCACAGAGATCCTCAGATCTACTGGTCTGACGGGAGTGGCTACTCATTCAGCTCCTGGTATCAGGGTCAGCACAGACTTGGCTCGAAGAAAGTCGTATGTGCTGTTGCAGATTTGAAGAATGGAGGAAACTGGAGGTTATTGTTCTGTGAACAAAGATTTCCATTTGTCTGCTACAGCGTCCCAAGTGAGAACCTTTTTTTTAATTTCTAAGTTGCTTGTTTTTGTATTTGTAAGTTTTCTGACAGGCCTGATCAAGCTGTCTTGTAGGCAACATGCAGCCCAGAGACCAGACGCTCCGCCCTCTGTGTTTTACATCAAAWGTCTGAGTTGTTCTATCACCAGAGGAAGAACTGTAGGCTTCACTAAACCATACAACACATTACACCTGTGTTTTGTTTCTCTCCTCATTCTTGGTCTGAGCAGATGTTGAGACGTTGGTGAAGGTGAGGGTGAAGCTGCAGGACTCCTCTGTGAACCTGAATGACCGTGCTGTGAGAGAACAGATTCTGAAGAAGGCAAGTCTCCAAAATCCACCCTGAGACATTAACTCATTCATGGACCCTGGACACATGTATTACAGAGTTTGACATCATCAAATAACCATGAAGTAGATGAGTGAATGTAAACAACTCAGCCACAGATGTCCCACAATTCAAAGCAGCCACAACAATGGAAAGAAATAGAATCAAATGTTTGACTGGTAGTGTAAGTGTAACTTTGTGACCTGATGCTGGTTATGTCTCCGGTAGAGCTGCAGGATTCATACAAACCACAATTCTTCTTCTTCTTCTTCAATTATTGTTAATATTATTCATATTATTGGTATTGTTATTACTATTATATGAATTGTTGCTGCTATCACTAATAACATMTTTACATTCATAATTATCACTCTTATTGTTTTCATTATAACAACTAGTCTGTCACAGCTGAAACCTGACAGTGCACGACCTGGTCTCTCTTTCCTCCTATCTGTCTCTGTTCTCTTCCCATCTCTTCCACCTTCCTCTCCTCCTCCTATCTCTCTCTTCTATCCCCTCTTTTCCACCTTCCTCCTAACTCTCTCTCTTATCTTCCCTCTTTTCATCCCTCCTCTCTTTCACATGTTTCTCTGCTCAGCCCAACCGGTGGATGCAGATGTTGCCCACATTGAGTCTGGTTCTAGAGTTTCCTTCCAGTTAATGAGGGAGTTTTTTTTTCTCTCCGCATGCTGCTCACAGTGGGAACTGTTGGGTTTCTCTACAATGTTTCAGGTCTTAATCTTCTATGTAAAGTGCCTTGGGATAATACATGTAATCATATATACTCTATATGAATCTAATTGAACTGACTAAATAAAAACATAACCCTTTGTCTTAGGGAGCAAAGGAATCTGTTTCAAGTATTTCAAATAGCTGCCATTTGTTTTCCAGCTCCAGGAAAAATTCAACGAGGAAGGACTGAGTGGCGTCACCTTGAAGTGGAAAGAACAGTCTGATGGGAAAGTTTTCCACAAGGAGGAAAACAGTTCCGACAAGAAAAAAAAGACTGAGCTCTGAAATTTGAATTCAACTTTGAATGCATGCGCCAATGTCTGCACATATACACACCACTATCACTGTACGCAGTTAAATCATAGCAATAAATGCTGTTGTAGAAAAACTAGCCTTTGTGTGCTTATATGCTTAAACTGTGCGTCTGTGTATAAAGAGCATCAGGAACCTACGCAGCCCGGGACAAATGTCTAATGAACAACAGACACAGGGAGAGGAAAATGTAATTAGTTGCTAGGCAGGTTAATAATGTTACAGCTGATTAAGTCTTATACTAAGGGAATGACAAAGACCCACAGCACAGGTCAAGCCCATGTCAAACAGATTTCTGGTTGCAACTGCAAGCTTTCACAAGACAGCACCATATATCCAGCATAAAGAAATGTAATCATGTATGCACCCTTACTGGAATGATTGTTTGTTGCACATATATTTAACGTGTGGAAATGTAAGAATTAAAAAAAAAATGCAGATAAACATCGCCCGAATCTAATGGAGTCTGGAGACAGGACCTTCAAAACCTTCAAAAGCAGCAGAGACGAGGATGAGCGTATAAGCAGAGGGTTTGAATTCCAGTCTTCAGTTGGGTTCTGGAGCCAGCTCTGGTTTAAATCTTGTAAAAGAATAAACTCTAATGCATTGAACTCTGACCATCTCCAGTGAATTATTTTGACCAATACTGAGACTCCAGTAAAAGCAAAGTATACGTGTTGAAAAGAAGTCTAGACTTAGTATCTGGCCCAGTGTTTGACTTTTTATCTCCAACAATGCTTCCTGTAGAAGAGTCTGACCCTCATCATTAAAACTGTTATTTATACTACTACACTATTAAAAACAAATCCTTTGTTTTCTCACTCACAGGTTTGCAAAGGGGCAACAAATAACCACAGGTTTGTGAATGATTTCTGAATAATGTCGAAAGGATTAGACTCGCATTCAAACCCAGACATCCCATAAATTGACACTGATAAAGTTCAATGCTTTAAGAGACAGTCCTGAATTGTTGTGTGCAGTTGCCACACACACACACACACACACACACGCACACACGCAGTCCTTATGTGGATCTACAGTGATCAGTGGGAGTAAAAAGCAAACTCCCTCTCTGGATGATGTGATGTGGGCATTACGTCAAAGCTTCCATGGACTAAAACAATGCATGCATAGGGTTATTGACATATAAAGATATGCAAAGCCGAAGTGTTCAACACAAGCCTGTTGTTCTTCCCTCTGTGTGTGTGTGTGTGTGTGTGTGTTCAGAGAGCGATGTCAGACTTTTGAGGACACTGACAGGAACTAAGTGTTTGAGGCAGCTATGTCAAGTTTTGCCAAAATCCTTGTTGTTTCTATTTGGGTAATTGTAMAGTGTGAGCAGTACGGAGACGTATTGAGGCGAGAGCAGTGTTACTCCAGTTGATACATTCTATCAGTGTTATAAAGATAGCATTGTCATGGGAGCAGATGATCGTGAACCAATAACCTCTTTAAATCCCAAACCACAGAGTCTTACCTGGGTGATATTTTTGCATTTTTCCTTTTCACATTTTCAGTGTTCTACTCTTTTTCCCAGAATTTCTGTAAAAACAGACGTGTACTTTATGTACGTGGGTGACTGTGCGTGGTCCAATTTTGTAACAGTTGTACAAAGCCTTGTTAACGTAACCTGTGCATATAAATATTATACTGAATGTGACAAACTGGGTTGAGGTTCGTTGCAACAACGCCACCTGGGGGAGTTTCACCCAGAGAGGATTAGAGAGGAAACAGTTTTAAATCATTTAAATAAAGATCACACAAGTTCAATTATCAACTGGGGCAGAGAGCATTTCATTTAGAATACATTTTATTGACAACAAATGAAATGAAAAACAAAAACGAGCAATACACTGGCTATCAGGATACCGGGCAGGATACAATAGAATGGTAATCAGGCATACGGATCAAAAGCACCTGTTGAACCCAGAAAGAAAAGTTACAACCATGCCATGAGCGTATTTAATTGAAACTGATAGCCAAAAGAAACAACAATGGTCACTTATTAAAACACTCACATTCAGGTTACACCACCAGATCCCAACAGAACCCGCAGAGCCAAAATCAGCAGAACTACTCGAAAGACAGGCCATACAGTTGACTGCAGCCTTTAAAAGCACAGGGCAAATAGTTCATATTTCTGAGCCACATTCAGAAAATATTTAGCCACATTGCGCGCCACGAGTGGAAGGAGAAAGCGAGGTGTGGCCGCTCACCTGACTATAAGCAATCAGGGTGCCATAACTCTTGCATAGTGCCACACAGTGGCAGGGAGGAAGACAACCTCCAGCTACACTGGGTTCATTCAAATGTCCTTGTGAAAGGTGGTGCTGGGAAGCTTGGTGCTGTAGTGACTGCTTGTGCTGTGATGTTAAGTCAATAGTAGGTGAACACAGTTACTTCAAGGGAACAAACTACATTTGCAGCATTGCATCATGTGTCACATGACCGACTGCAGACCGTGCTCTTCTTGTTTGTGGAGCGGCATTCTGTAAAGTATTGGTGATGGTGCTGCACATCATCCCCAGGACTTTTACTGATGATGGTTTGCTCAATAGAACACATTTGTGAGTCACAGTTCTGACATCTGATAAATTAATGGATTGTGGAGATCATTTAATTGCAATCATACATTTTGGTGGGGACCAGTCAGGGATTTCTCCTGGTAAAAGATTGTGTAGTGTCGTTTTGCTCCATGTGTGGCTTTATTTCCTGCCTTTATCATGTTTCTCGCACTTGATATCGTTGGGTGTGTCTGTGTGTCCCTTTGTATTCGTCAGTGTGTCTTGTCCCACATCGGTTGACACTTGCATGTCCTCTTGTTTCAGTTTTGTTTGCATTCAAAATGTATCTTTTGTTTCTTTGCCTATGACCTAACTATCTCTCACTGACCAAGCTGTTGTGCCTGCATTTGAGTCCTATCTTGAAAATCTTAACAGTTACTGTGGATGGAGCCTTGGTTACACAACATTTAGTGTCTCTTAATGCAAATAGTAGTTTTGCATTTTGATGTAAGAACTGTCTCAAGGTTATTTTTTTAGTTTTTGTTATGCTCTCATATTTATTTTTTGTAAAACGACTAAAGCAATTATCACAGTAAGTTCAGTCAAACACCTGTTGGTTCCATTAGTTATCAGCTTTATGCAGCCTGCTCCTTAATGATTTGGGAGGATAATTGTGTAACTTTGACTTAAAACCAGCATATCACATTAGTATGACCTGACTGAAATACTGAATATATTTAGGTGTTTGCCCCTGAGAGGGGAAACAACCTTTGTACTAACCCCTACACCCTAAGCTTTGTTCAGTCCCCACGGAACAGAACGGCAGCACAAGGGAACACCTGGGAGCTGAACTGACCAAGAAGGAGACAAGTGAGGCAGGGATGGTTGCACTCAGGTGAAACACTTCAGGAAGGGTCAGACAGACGACAACAGGAAAACTAAACAATGATAGAAAACAGCCAACAGACACATGTGGCAAGTGATATCAATTTATAATAGAGAATAATAAGACTCTCATTTCCTATGATACTGAACCCTGAATTGCCCTTTATAGAAAAGGTGCTGCCCATAGATGCACTGTATGTGAATGGCAATAAAATATACTGTGAAGTGCTTTGAGTGGTCATCACGATTGGAACATCTCTACATAAATACAGACCATTTACCATTTGCAGGGTACAAGTGTTTGTTGATGGTAAGCATGGAGAATGACAGACGAGTTGCATACACTGTACACTAGTTTCAATGTAATGGCTGACTGGTGTATCATTTACATTGTGATCATTGTGCACCACTTTGATGAAGTAAAGCTCAACTCAACTGACTGATGCTGAACTGCAGAGGGAGCCAAAGAGAGAGATAGAGCCTGTAGGCATGGTAATCACCAAACATTTCAATGATCTGCATCTGTACAGTGCTTTTAGTAAATAGAGTTCTGTGTGTGCTAGCCTTTGGAATTAAACTATCTTT